TGGAGTGGGTTTAACTATAATTTTCTTATAACAATATAATGATAAGAATAATTTTGCGTTCAAGAGCAGTATTACATCAAAACAAATTCAATGAGTCAAAAGCATAAAGAAAAAAAAAGGAGGAAAACAGTCCAACTAATCAAATGGTGTTACGAGAGTTGGCAAGGAGTGATAATGATGGTGTGTGAAGAGTGTTGGCACGCGTAATAATGATGGCGCGTGAAGAATTTTGTGAAATGGATGATGTATATTATATTATATACATGTAATAGTATTTATATACATAGTGGTTGATTTTGGTGGCTGATTTTGGTGTGCAAATAGAATTATTGATGTTTTATATAGATAATTGATTTTTTTTATATACCTAACATTTTTGCTAATTTTTTAAGAAAATTATGTATTGCATATGATATTTTTATATATTTTTCTATTATAACTTATACACAATGATATACTTAAATTAGGATGTGCTAGTCAATTGGTTGTTGGAGACCATCATCGTTTAAGATGAACTTTTTTTTGGTGACGAAAAAAAAAACAAGTAAGAAATAGCAAGCTAAGAAGCTAGATCTTGCTAAATTATAAGGAGAAGATCACTAGAAGGAGAATGTCGCTTCCTGAAAGCTAGCTAAGAAGAAGCTGCATGTTTCGCCATCAAATTCGCAACATTGTTCGCAGATCGCTGGAGAAGCTTAATCTGCAAGGACCACAGCCAGAGCTCCACATATTTAATTTGGGACACTAAATCTCTATGATCCATGACTAAGGACAAATCAAGATGAATCAAATTGAAAGCATCCAAGCAATCCGTTTCATAAACAACCTGACGAAAACCTGAATCCCAAGCAAGAGTTAATCCTTTCCAAATGGCAAAGAGCTCACGACACAAAATATTACTCTCCCGGAGACTCCCAGAACAACCACCAATCCAATGAGCACAGGCATCCCTTAGAATGCAGCCAAACCTTGCTAGATGACCATGAGCCATTAAACTACCATCACAATTAACTTCAATAAAATGTAAGGGAGGAGGTGATTAAACCAGCCGTAAATGAGGATCGATGGTGGATTGTTGCACGGAAGAGAACAAGGAAAAGTCGCGGGAGCTTGATCTGCACAAAGCAAGAACTTTCTCCACCTTCCATGGCTCTAATGGAAAAAACACATCATTGTTCCTATCCCGCCAAATCCACCAAAGGGTCGCAGCAAAAATAGAACCATCAGAAGCACAACATGCACAAGTACAATTCAAAAAATCATGATAACCCTGAACCTGAGAGGTCCCCAAACCAATAAGCTGCCAAACACGGAAAGCCTTGGGACAAGAGAAGAGACAATGGAAAGTATCTTCAACACCTTGATGGCAGCGGGGGTAAACATCAGAAAGGGCTAAACCGCGCCTAAACCAGAACAAGGTTGTAAGAACAACATCATGAAAACATAACCAAATTAACATCTTGATCTTTTCCGGAATCTTTAGTCTCCAAATCCAGAGCCATGAGACATCTGTTTGCCAATGACACTTGCGCTTTACCAGCCATTCATAACCATCTCTAACCGAATAAACCGTAGAAGAAGAAGAACTCCAAAACCAACCAGTAGCATGACTTGCTTGGATGTCCAAATCAATTGACCAAATAAATCTTAAAATTCTCAAGAATAGAGGTATGTAAAGCATCAAGTTTCCATTGACCATCTTTCCAAACATCAACAAGACACAAGTCAAGATCAGAAACATGGACAAAAGGGAGCTCCTCGGCCAATTTCCCCGTAGGAAGCCAACATGAGAACCAAAATGATTTAGAAACATCACCAGTATTCCAAATAAAACCCTTTTGTAGTTTTGAGATTGCCTTTAAGATACTACACCAAACACCTGAAGCTCGAGAAGAGGAAACAAGAAGCCTCCCACTTTGCAAGTACTTGCTCAACATCACTTGCACCCACAACTTGTCCTGATGATGATGATTAAGATGCCAAATTAATTTGCCAAAGAGAGCATAGTTCATGCATTCAGCATCCCTAACACCAAGCCGACCAAAGCATTTGGGAGTAACAACTCTATGCCAATGAACAAGACTCAGAACACGGTCACCAACTCGCCCTTTCCAAAGGAATTGACGCGACATAGAATTAATCTTGGAACAAACCGAAGATGGAAAAGCCATCACCTGCATTTGATAGATATGCATAGAATAAGCAACAGACTTAATAAGGCAAAGTCGACTTGCTTTATTCAGAAGTCTACTTTTCTAATCAGATAACCGAGCTTTAATATGATTCAGAATATCATGAAAAGCTGCTCTAGAAGGTCGAGCATGATCCAGATTAACCCCCAAATATTTACCCAAATTTTGAGTAAACTTGATATGAGACACACCAGAGAACATGTCCCTCCTCCTGTTAGAAATATTATTAGAGCATAAGGCCTTTGATATAGTGAATAGTTATTTTCGAAATTTCAATTGACCTGAAGTTTGCATTTGTGTCTTATTTTAGTTTTTGACCAATTTCCGTTACTAATATGTTAACAACAGGCTAAGGTGAACTACCTCTGCTACGTTGAACTATGGGAAAATGATATCGTTTTATTTATGGAGTTTAAATAGCCAAAAAAGGACGTCGCATGAAGTGTTTAGGGAAGAAAATATGGCTTAAATGGTCTTAAAATATCTGTTTATGACTATTTGAGGGTTAAAAACAAAATGACACCTTGTTTCTGTAGCTCAATGTGGCAACGTCGGTCTATCTAAGCGGGCGTTAACATCTGTATAATGGAAATTGGTTAAGAAACTAATGTGAATAATAAGGGAAAAGTATGTTTTATGCCATAAAAGTTTGTTGTGAAAATCAATTTTGCCACATTCGTTTTTTTCTTCTCAAAAGTGCCACTAACATTTCAAATTTTTATTAAAAAAACACAATTACCGTTTTGCCCCTAGAGGCAGTTATTGTATGTTATTGTTAGTTAGGAGATAATTATAATTTTATTTGTTATATTTTTATATATATGAAATTGGGAATCACTCAAAAATCAATCACTCGAAACTGAAACCCTAAAATCCCTAAACTCGAAGATCCCCAAATTTGGTTGAAACAGAAACCCTAAATCCCCAAACTCGAAGATCCCCAAATTAGAAGAATCGAAAATCCGTCAACCCTGGGCAAACGAAAGTTTGATTGGAGGTGTTTTGGTTAGGGTTCGCTGGTATGGCTTCTCAAAACTCGCGTGGGTCGAGGTCAAGTCGTAGCACTGGAATGAAGCACACAGAGGAGAATGCTATTATGCTCGCATGGAGAATGCCCCGTCTTAAGAGTTTCGGGCACCAAGGAAAATCCTAGGAGGCGATTCTGGGGCTGTGTCCGTTACGATGTAGGTAACTTGCGATTGCATTCTGGTGTGGTTGTATGAAAGTGGGTTTTGAGTGAATCTTTCTGACGTTGCGATTTTCAGGTTCAGGAACAATGTGATTTTTTCAGTGGGCCGATAAGGAGCAAATAGAGGAGGACTCAGAGAGGGCAAAGTTGAGGAAGAAGGTGTCAACCCTGAAAACTGAATTGAGGGCTTGCGAAAGGTGGTTGACAATTGCTGTGTTGGTATATTTGGGTGGATTTTGCTCATTTGCCTGTGGTTGCAGAATTCTGGTGGAAGACTTCATCATCAACTGCTATGATTCTAGGTTGAAAGTGCTGTTATTGTAGATGAATTTAGGGTTTAGGGCTGTTCTTGTGCTTGATGTTGCTAGATGCTATTATGGCCTGCAATTAGTGTAAAGGTTAATGTTAGAGCAAGCTGTGTTTGTTGTAATATAAAATGTTTTGTTGTTGCTGAAATGAAGAAGAGAATGCAATTTCTCTAATCTGATTTGGCACATGTTTTTGGTTGATTAGAATGTGCAATTGAAAAGCATTATAAACTGAGATAAATTGTTTTGTTGTTGCTGTAATGAAGAAGAAAATGCAAATTATGTAATTTGATTTGTCTCTTGGTTCTTGGTTGATTAAAATGTGCAAAATGGATTACAAAGTGCAAGGATTTGGCTGCAACTATGTGCAAAATGGACATGAAACCTGCTATATTCATAATGTTGTCAAAGAAAATAGCATGCCTAAACATCACCAAGATAGCAAAAGCCATGAATTGCATAAAATCATATTGCATAAATCCATTCAAAACATCAGCAATAGGAACAAGCATTAGTGATCAGAGTACTATTACAAAACATTAGTATTGATCCCTGCCAGCTTAACTTAAAAGGCTACTAGATCACATACATAGTGCTCAAAGGAGAACCCAAAATAACTACCATATCAGCAAGCCAATTGGTTTAAAAATTTGAATTAACCAATTACAAAACACTAAAAACTACCAGCTGAATTGCGACATTAGGCAAACACAAAACACAAAAACATTCAAGTTCCATTCATTTTCAACAATTTAGCACAAGTCACAATTGTGGAGCTACTTGATATTTCCCCAAGCTCTTGGAGGGAGCTTTGCCATTTGTCTCAACTTCTGAGGGGAAACATGAGGCCCACCAACATGCCTCACACAAAACCTAGGCCTGTTCCCAATGGGCTGTGATGAGCTGGGCCTTGAGCTGGGCTTGGTTGTTTCCTGAGTAGACCTTTTGCTGGGCTGAGAAGTTGAAGTAGCAATGGGTCTATTTGATGTGTTGGCTGATGATGATCTGTTCTGGCTCCTTTTTTTGGATTGGCTTGATGTCTCTTTTGATGTTGAGGCAGTAACAATGGCTCTTCTTCCTCTGCCAGACCATGTTTGATTTGGCCTGTTGGTTGAGGGAGCTGTAGGTAGGAGAGGCTGTGATGAAGATGTCCCCACTACTGGCTTCCTCTTTTTGTTGGTGGTTTGGGGCAGAGGTTGGGAAAGGGCCTTGCTTGTGTTTTCTTTGTAACCTTGCCCTTGCCATTAGATGACTTTGATTTTTTAGGTGGAGGTGCCTGCATTATGAGATCGAATTTCCCGTTGTTCCTCAGTAGCTCAGTGGTAGAGCGGTCGGCTATTAACTGACTGGTCGTAGGTTCGAATCCATGCAGTACTTCATTGTGTGATATATATAAGATCCATCTGTATAGATATCATCATCTACATCCAGAAAGCCGTATGCTTTGGAAGAAGCTTGTACAGTTTGGAGGGGGAGGGGTCAAATTTACCCTGACGGGAGCAAGAGTAATAATACTGTGTATTATGCTACAGCAGCGGGGATAATAAAAAAGATCATACGAAAAGAAAAGGGGGGATACGAAATAACTATAGCGAACGCATCGGATGGGCGTGAAGTGATTGATATTATACCTCCAGGACCAGAACTTCTTGTTTCGGAGGGTGAATCTATCAAACTTGATCAACCATTAACGAGTAATCCTAATGTGGGTGGATTTGGTCAGGGGGATGCAGAAATAGTACTTCAAGAAGGGGAAAAATGACAAAGAGTTGTATCAAAGTGAAGTTAGCTACACTAATTGCATTACCAACAAGTATAAAAAAAAAAAATCACAAATGTATGTAAAATAAATTTTGTCACATAGCAACAACAGAATCTTCACATCATCAATAAATAACAATATAAAGACACACAAACCCATATAACCCTAAACCAGAGAGACATATAAATACATACACTTTCCGCTTGTGGTGGCTTCATGCAGCCTCTTCTTTTGTGGCCAGCAGCACCACAATTTGAACACCTCTGAACTTGTCCCCTTCTTGACAAATGTGTTGGATTTCTTCCTTCCTTTGTAGCAGGGCCCCTCTTCCTCTTCTTGGTGGGTCTGTGGCTTGGATTTCTAAACGGTGGAGGCATAATGTCATCGAAATTGGTTCTATCCCACAAATCAGGATCGTTGCATGGATGAATAACATTTTCATAGCACATTTCATATGCCTCTTGCTTGTAGCAATCATCGATGTAGTCATCAATGTTGAGGGCCTTAAAGTTAATGCAATAGATTGCATGAACACAAGGTAGGCCACTCAGCTGGAACCTTCGGCATGAGCATTCCTTTTTCCCCAGATCTACAGCAAATTGGCTCTTCTTTCTACGCACTTGATAACATTGTGCAGTTGACCAAGCAGGTCTCCACTGCCCAGCATACTTCCCCCTCCTTTCCAGCTTCTTTCTAATCCTAGGAAGCACTAAACCCTCATATTTCCTAATGAGCTCCCTGTTTTCAACCCACCGTGTCACCAAATATACCCTAATCTCCTCACACATTGTATAAATAGGCTTCTCCCTAGCTAACAAGATTGCACTATTGAAACTCTCAGCCAGATTATTAACCAAAGTTTCACACTTGGAGTGGAATGTGAATCGAGATCTAGACCAGAACCTAGGGGGTATAGCGTTGAGATACCTGAAAGCACCCTCGTCGATTAGCCTAATCTCCCTCATCTCTTTCTCCCAGTCTCTCCACCAAGAAGCCTTGGCACACCTCCACATCATCCCCTTGAGGTCTAGACCTGGGTGTTTCTTGCGGAAGTTGTTGTACAAATGACGAATACAAAACCTCACATCCACACCTTGTATCACCTCTTCAATAGCTGGCACCAAACCCTGCAATCATTCAATTAACACATACTAAGTTTACTGAAATAATATTAACCAAATAACAAAAACCAAGTATGAAGATCACTTAGTAGAAGATGAGAATCTAACCTTCTGTTGATCTGACATGAAGGTTGCTTTGCCCATCCTTTCCACACCCATGTCATCAACCAGATGAGAAAGAAACCAAACCCATGAAGATTTGTTCTCTGATTCCACAACAGCATATGCTATCGGCAATATCTGGTCATTCGGATCCCAACCTACTGCAGTTAGAAGCTGCCCCCCGTGTGGTGTCTTCAAGAAGCAACCGTCAAGGTGAATAAAAGGCCTACAGTACTGCCAAGCCTTCTTGCAAGCGTCGAGGCATATGTATATTCGTTCAAATATGCACCAATTGACCATCGTTGAGCTATGAGCCTCTTGCTCAAAATTTGGTGATCTGGAGACCTTCAGGTGAACAGAACTGCCGGGGTTTGAACGGAGCAACTCAGCTGCATAATCTGCCAAGCGTTTGTACTGCTCCTTATAAGTTCCCTAAATTTCGTCCAGAGCATTTTGCCATGTCCTGGCAGCCATTGCTGTTGAAACAGTGAGGTTCCATTTTCTGTCTGCCTTTGCCACCAGCTCCCTAATCTTCACCTTCAGGTTGTTCTGGACCTTCTTCTTAAACTCTTTACCAAGCCACTTTGCCTTCAGGATGCCAACCCTCTGAACTTGTGCACAATTGTGCCCCACCTTCGCACTCCTAAGCTGCCAGGTACCTTCTCCGCTCATCTTGATACAATACAGTCTGAAGGGGCACCCCTCTTGACAATTAACAATTACCCGCTTCCGATCAATCTTTTGGAACTTGATTCCCCTCTTAGTATACACTGCATGTCCTACCATCGTATCTTTGAACTCATCCTTTGTAGCATACACAGTCCCAGGTTCCCAATTATAACATGCCATGTTTGCATGTTTTTGTGAACTGGGAATACCACCGTGTCACCCTCATCACCCTCATCTCCATCATATCCTCCCACAGCATACCCCTCATCGAGCTCATCGCTGTCCTCCCCTGCATCATGAAATTCTTCATTCACAACCCCTTTCCCTTTATCATAAACACCCTTCTTCCCAGCATCTGTTTGGAACCCGAAGACGTTATCATCCAACTCGAGATCTTCTTCACTATCGGTAAAGTGAATATCATCAACACTATCTACATTTTTGGAAAAAGGCACGTACTCAGCATCATCGCTGTCATCATCTCCATCGTCATCTAACTCACCAGATGCTACCCCTGCCCTAGCCTCTTCATTCTCTACAACATTAGGCTCACTAACATCTTGTCCCTCATCATTTGGGCCAGCATCTTCAGTTGCAGCAACCTCTTCAACATTATGACCAACTTCAATCGCAATAGCATCTTCACCATCTTGCCCAACCCCTTCCTCATTTTGGCCATTAGGGGGGTCTGCTTCACCATTAGGGCCAACTTCTTCAACATTATTCCCAAGGTCTTCCACAATTGAGGCATTCGGTGCAGCAATTCCATCCCCATTTTCACCATTAGAGACAACATCTTCAGCACCCTCTTCCCCATTTTCACCGTTAAGGGCACCATCTTGCCCAACCCCTTCCTCATTTTGGCCATTAGGGGGGTTTGCTTCACCACCTCCTTCCTCATTTTGTCCAACTTCAACAACTTCATCATCGTCTTCTCCCGCCGGACCACCCCCGACATCAATATATCCAATTTTTGGGAACCCTTCTTCGGGTCCATCTTCGTGAACAATAAAGAGTTCTACATGCTCCCTCTGTTCAGCGATTTCGACCATGGTAAGAACATCTCTGTCATTCAGGAACATCCTCAACCCAATCGAATAGTCTTCAATCGTGGGATCCTTGTACCACAAGGCAGCAATATCCTTGTCTCTATGCCCAAGCCTCTGAAGCTGTTCCTATGCCTCAAAAACACTCCATAAGTCACTATCATTGTCTTCAATCATGAGCTTCTCACCTCTAACATACCTCATTACCCCATTAACGTAACCAAAAGCCCCCCCTCTGATATAGTGCTATGTCGAAGTACACCATCTTCAAATTCGACAATGTCACCTGAAATGAAGATAACCCTAAATTTTAACACACTAATGCAAATACAACAATGTTGCAGACCCTGATGCATACACCACTCAATCACACCTAAAAGATGAAGTTGGAAGTGTCTATGATGGAGATTTTCGAACTTACCTTCCACAGTTGAAGTCACGTCGTGCCCGAGGTGAGAACAAGCTCCCTCAAGTGTCTCTTCTATGCCACACCACCTTCACAACACCGCCTTCTCTGATTCTGTTCTCCGTTTGCTTCTCCGTCGCAGCTCCATCGTCACTCTCTCAGGGTTAGGGATCCACAAGCTCTCTAACTATTTCCCCTCTTTGACAGTAATCACTACTGTGTGTGTGTGTGTGTGTGTTTTGTGGGAAGAGAAACGTCTTCATTAAGGGGGAAGGGTGTTTTCATCATCACACTTCAAATTTGGTGTCTTTAATGTAAAATTAAAACTTATTTGGCACCTTTGAGAAGAAAAAACAAATGTGGCAAACTTGATTTTCACAACAAACTTTTATGGCATAAATCATACTTTTCCCGAATAATAAATACAAACTTTCAAGACTAAATTGACTTAATTGAAAATTTAAGAAATAATATGAGGAACATTTATAATTTCATAGACCAATTTGCATATTAGTTCCCTTAAATGAGACAAAGGGATGGCTTGAATCAGATTCCATTATGACTTTCTGGTAGTGCAAATTATGAGCTAGGTTTGGGATAAGTTCGATGCCATACTAGTTAAGCAACGATAATAGAAAAATTTAGAATGTTGGCACTAAAGCTAGAAACATAAGATATTTCTAGCAAGAGTCTTCTAGAGAGAGAGAGAGAGAGAACGAAGACTCGGATCCGTAGCTCCCTCATGGAACTGCGCTGTCCCGTTGCCGTCGCCGGTTGTTGCCGTGGCCGTTCACGCTATCGTCGTCTTCTCCGTCTGCCCATGCCGGAGCGCTGTCGTTGTCATTGTGTCAGATCCTGTCAACACGTTGTCCATCGCCACTCCTTCCACTTTATCGTCTCTGCTACCATCGTCCATCGCAGGTGTTTTATCAAATCTCGTCGCGCCGATCCTTTCTTGCTCCGTTCAAAGTTGAGTTCTTTTGGTTCAAAGACAGAGCTGGATTCTTTTGGTTCAAAGACAGAGCTACTTATCCACTCCGTCTTTGCCGCCGGGCGTCTAGGATCTTTCTCACCGTTGCCTCGTCCACCACGCCGAGTTGCCCAAACCGCTGATTCCCCCGCCCAAAGAACCAACCGCATCCTCCACGACAGGTCATCCACTCCGCCGTGATGCTATCTGCTTAGCGTCATCCTTCTTCCGCGTTGCACACCAACACACACCAGCCCTTTCTTTGTCACCCACCTCTGTATCTGCGTCCTACCTCGCTAAGCC